CTGCTCTGCGGGGAGCCTGCTTCTCCCTCTCCCACTCCCCCTGCTTGTGTTCCCTCTCTCGCTGTGTCTCTCCCTGTCAAATAAATAAATAAAATCTTTAAAAAAAAAAAAAGAGTCCTGACGGCCTATCTCGTTTTCTTTTATCTAGCTTGTGTCACAACTTACGGGATCTGAGGATTTGTTTCTCCCTAGCTCGGGGCAATCTGCAGAGATTAAGTCCCCACATTGACCTGCCCCAGCTGCCCCGGCTCGTTCCCATTCTTCTCTGCTGCTTCCAGTGTGCATGGTATCTACTGGCCATCTTCCAGTTAACTTTAGACTGGGACTTTCCAGTTCTGGGACATGCTTCTGCTTTCTGTATTGGCTACAAGTCTGGCTGACATTCTCCACCTTTCACCTGTTTTGCCTGTTCTACTTCAACGAGCACAGCAACACTGTTACTTGAAAGGCTCTGTCCCCCTCTCTCTGGGACTCTGTCCCAAGTCCCAGCTGTGCCGACCACTTCAACCCCAAGCTCGGTCCCCAGAGCCCGTGTGCTTGGCTTCGCTCCACACAAGCTGAGCCGAGTGCCTCCCAACCACAGCTTTTCTGGTTATTCATCTCTGGCAAGAGTAGGTTAGTCTGATGAAAGGCGTGCCATGCGCCACAGCCACACCCCAGGGGCACATTCCCAGGGGGAGGGCTGGTCGAGGGGGCGCGGAACCATGCACACTCCTCGAGCAGGATGAGTGCGCTCCGTCCTGGGCCCTGGCGGTCAGCACTGAGATCACCAGCTGTAAGCAGCTCACCGGCCGACCCGCATTAAGTCGCGCCGTTCCACCCAGCTCTCCCCTCCTGGGAGCATCTATTCACACCTGCCTCCACCTGGAACACAGCTCAGGTGCTGGGGTGCGGCGAGTCTCCCCTCACACTGCCCCGGCCACAGAGAGCCCCGAGAAGCCGGCTGTCTGCCCCCAACAGCTCTGGAGCTGCACGTTCCTCCTGCTGTCACTCGGGCCTCCCGCTGGGGCCAGAGTCCCTCTGACGGCCTCCCGACAGGCACTTTGTCAGAAGCGCCTCTAGAATCTCCGCTAACCGTGACCTTGTCGCTACCCCAGACCTCACAGGAGCGGCTCCCCTGACCTGCACCCACACAGACTGGTCCAACACCTCACGCCTCAGAGCAGGGAAATCAGCATGTCCCTCAGGACCCCCAGGGCAGTGCCCTGCCATCCTGCACACCCGTGGGTTCCCTCCAAATGCAGGAGCCTCAAAACTGGGGTGAGCTCACCATCTCAGGGAACATTTCAGCAATAAAAATGAACACCCACAACATACAGGACAAGGGAACGGACACAGAGTGTGTCCTGAATGAAATCACCTCTTTAGAGCTCAGAAGGGAGAAGGCAGAACTGACCCGGCAAGGGCTCTTTCCCTTACGTTCCTGTTGCTACCCCCTCCCTCGGTCTGATCTGGGCAAGGGAGTGGGATGGGACGCCAGGGGAGGCCCAGAGCTGGCTTGTCTTCTGGCCCTCCCACCCCACGCCGCTGCCTTCCACCCTGCAGAAGGGACAGACCAGGGGGCACTGGCACAGAGGGTTTCCTGCTGGGGGGACGTGGGCCGATATCAGGATGCAGGTCTGGTCTGTGGATGGGACAGCTTGTCGGAGACAGCCTGAGCCAACGTGAGAGCGTGTCTGACACACGCAACACATCTCACAGGCTAGACCCCGGCCCTATCTGTTCCAGTGTTGGAGACCAGGACAGGACAGAACATGCAAGAGGCCCAATGCCTCAGTGGGGAAGCCCAGCCCTAGCTCAGGATGCAGCAAACCCCCAACTGCACGTCCCACCAGCACCGCTTTTGGTCAGCTCTCAGTGAGCGTGGTAGTCCAGGGCGCTCAGAGGCACCCTGCTGCTGCAAGACAGCTCCCAGGCCCATGTACCTGAAGGAGGAGTGCTCCGTGTGGACCGCCAGGGAGCCAGGGGGCCCGGGGCCCACAGCACCTTTCCGGATGAGCTTGCCCGTGTTGGCGTCATAGATGCGAACTTCTGGCCCAGGCTGGGCCCTGGGGTGGACGGGCGTCGGGTGGAACAAGGCAGTCGGAAGCGCACCCTGCCTGTCAGGAAAGGCTGCTGGGCCATCCTCCCTGCGGGACCAGAACAAGGGCCGTGAGAAAGCGCTGGAACAGGCTCAGGCCCAGATGCAGCTGAAGGCCCGTCCAGGTGAAGACGAGAAGAGTGCGTGCCCCGTGGCCTGCCTGGGGCCTCAGCTGGAGTCTGCGATCACCGTCCCTCTGACGCCTGTTCCAGAACTTTACCCCTAAACACAACAGCCAAAGTCTGACAAAGAACGGGAAGCATTTTTCTCAAGCTGTTCTCAGCAGAACAGACCGTCCCCCACAAACATACAGAACCACCTTGACCCAGCAGGTTCCCAACCATCCCTTGCTCTGGTCACTGTCACCCTGGCCACTGAGACTCCAAGAAGCCTCAACGTCTTCCAGGACGCTGCCCCCAGGCCAGGAAGGAAGCGCAGGCAAGCCGAGCCTCCCTGCTAAGCCTCCCTGCTGGTGTTGTTGGGAGAAAAAGCAACTGACTTTTCGAGATTGCGATCGCGTTTTAGACAGTCTGTGCTCTGCAGGGCTGGGAGGGCCAGTGGGGAGGGCCTGGCCCTGGTGGCCGCGGGGACCACGGGGACCGCGGGGACGGAAGCTCGTGTCCTCCGGCCGGCGCCCCGTGCTGAGGGTGGGGAGTGGGAGGCAGTTGCAGGTGTGGTGCTCACCTCTGCACTCTGCCGTAGTCGTCCCTGAGCGGGAAGAGCTGCTCCTCTACCCGGTCCCAGCGCTCCAGGCAGCTCCACAGCCAGTCGGGGTTGACCACATGTAGCTGCCCGCACTCCTGGGCCTGGCGCACCTTCTCTGTGCCTGCAGGGAGACCACCTCAGTCAGCGCAGCCCGGGCTGCAGGCGCGTGGCAGCCTCGAATCACTCGCTTGGGCCCTGAACCCTGCCTGGCACACACTGTGTGTCTGGAATCTGGGACTTCACTGTCCAACCAGTGCTGCCTGCCCCCGGCCCGCCCCACAGAACGGTGACCTGCCGTGGGGTCTCACTGGACCCACTGGCAGGCGCGCAGGGAGGGCAGGGATCTGAAGGACCCCACCACGCCAGCCAGAGGCACCCATCCATTTCCGTGGGAAGTCTCCCACTGCCTCTGTGACCTGCAGCCAACTGCCTGACATCTCTTCCCCAGGACCAAGGGCTCGGCACTGGCAAAGGCCCCGCCACTGCTGTGGGCTCAGAGCCCCACCCGGCCCCCTCTGCCAAGGTCACCTGTTACTGCAGCCAGTTCAGCCCCCTGAAGGGCAACGGCCACAGCGGCTGGGGTATGAGCAGGCCAAGCAGAGGACGGGGGGGACGTGTGGGTGTGTCCCTGACGCGCACATGTCTGCGTCATCGGAAAGGCTCTTTGGTAGTTGGCAAGGACGCCCGTCCTGCCCACCGCAGGCTTGGACCACACTGTGTTGTGACCACGGGGGCAGAGGCCAGGCCAGTCACCGGCACGGTCAGCCATCACGCGTCTCCGAGTGAACAAGCAGTGACTTTGGGATCGGGGAGGGAGGACAAGGGCGCTGGACACCCAGGCAGGAGTGAGCCAGGTGCCTCCTTCCCTGTGCCCCTGGGCTCACTGCACGAGTGGGATGCTTGAGGGCTGCAACAAGCCTGCCCCCGCCTCCCAGTGAGGATCCTCCCACATCTCACACCAGGATGTGCCACACACGGGCACGGGGCTCAGCCCTCCCGGGAAAGCTGGCCCCACGAGGAGGCAGTGACCTGGAAACCCTAGCTCAGCAGGTGTGGGCAGGGAAGGAGCAGTGCCCGGAGCGCCAGGCACAGTCTTTGTTCAGAAAACCCTGCACCATCGCTTGTGAGAACCACTTAAAAAAAAAAAATCGTTGGTTTTTATTTTTGTCTTTTTTTAGCAACCATGTGTGTTTCTTCCTGATTTGCCCGTTACTGAGGGGCTGTTTTCTTGGCTGAAGTCCCTGGAGTCTGTCTGAGGGTGATGTTCCTACAGTGATTTTCAGCCCCAATCCCTTAGGACGGACGTGGCTCCAGCTGGAACCTTTGTGCTCAGTCTTCTCAGAGGCTTAGCTGCCCGCTCCCCGCTTAACTGTGTGCTGACGACCATGTAACTGGGCTCCATCATCAACTCCCCACCCCCCTTCTCCACCCGATGGGCGTGCACCCCTCACTCCAGGCGGAGGAGCCTGACGACATGGAGCACGCAGCGGCAGCGGGCCAGGAAACACGAGGTGCTGCCCCCTGGCTTGGCAGCGCCCGCGGACAACACACACGCACACAAGCAGACACAGAAACTCCGACACGGACGTATGATCATGAGTGAACGCGTACGAGGCACTGATTCAGGACAAGGCTTCTGAAAGCTCAGCACAGAACAAGCAGCCGTGCGGGGCCAGTGCAGACGGACCCGGCCCCAGGAGCACCCCGGGGGGTCTTCTGTCCGCCCCCCTCCCCCAGCAGGACGGCAGGAGGCGGGCCGGCATGGCGCACGTACCTGCCCTCGCTGCGATCAGGTGCGTGGCCCTGTCGGGGTTGTCTGGGTCCAGCACCAGCTGCGTGAGGATCTTGGCTCCAAGGGCTGTGGCGTGGTAGTGCTCCCGCGTCTTCTCGATGGGGAAATTCGTCGGGTGCAGCCCACTAAATATTATGGCAACATCCGCCAGCACTCTGCTCTTGAGCTCTGGGACGATCTTCCGTATGTCGGGGGCTTCCTGGCTGTCCCCACACAGGTACCGATCGTATTTGGCATAGTAGTCAGAGTGCACTCGGGCAAGGATCTCCTCCAGGTAGACCAGGTGGTCGTCCTCATCCCCGTCTTCCTCCTCCTCCTCCTCCTCCTCCACACTCTGGTCCAGGGACTCGCCCGCCGTGATGCCCGACTGCTCGCTGTTCTGGGACTCGGTCTCGGCCTCCTCCTCCTCCTCCTCCTCCACACTCTGGTCCAGGGACTCGCCCGCCGTGATGCCCGACTGCTCGCTGTTCTGGGACTCGGTCTCGGCCTCCTTCCTATCCGCAGAGCCACCGCCCAGCCCGCAGAGGCCATCCCGCTCACCCTCCTCCTGCACATCCGGATGCAAGCCTGGGGCAGACTCTCCGCATGGACTCACTCCTGTGGGCCTCTCCCCTCCTGGGGCAGGGGGGCCGCCCCGCTGTGCCACTTTTCCTGCATCTCGTGCTCCCTGAGGCCTTTCCAGGCTCCTCCTCTCCCCACTTTCACCATCAGAGGATGACTGGGCGTCTGACTCGCTGTCGCTGGAAAGGTCAAAGTCCAGGTCACCGCCTGCCGGGCCCTGAGCTGACCGCTTTTCCGGCAATGTCCGATCATGCTGCTGAGCACATGCTGGGGGGCCCTTGCCATCAGCCAAGGGGCCACGGGCAGTAGGCCGGCTGCCTCTCTCCTCCTCCTGCCCAGGCAGGGGCCAGTCCCCCCGTGGAGAAGCACCCCCGTTGAGCTCCCTCGTGGGCTTCCCAAGGCCATTACTTTGCTCAACCCCAGAAACCTGCCGTCCTTCCTCGGTCTCCCTGACGGACGGAGCTTGTTCTGGGACGTCGGCACCTTTCGGAGACTGATTTACTATAGGTATGCACAAAAGAAAAGGGGTGACTGTTATTTAACATCCAACGTGAAAGCTCTTGTTAAAGCAACGGTGGTTCCCCCCACCGCCCCCCCGTCTGGCTCTAACCGTGCCCTAGACCTGGGCTCGGCAAAGTCCGGCTGTAAGGGCAAATTTTTAGGTTTCTGGCCACAGATGGTCACTTTGTCTTGGTTTTTACAATGCGTTAGAAACGAAGAGAACACTCTAGGCTTCCACGTTGCGGGTGGGGCCTCCCAGCCCTGCTCTGGCTGCCCTGAGAAGTGTCTCCCCCTCAGGCCCACTGCCCCGGCCTGGGCCTCCAGCTCTGACTGACTGTAGCACTCACTGCAGGCCTCACACAGCGTGTTTACACACTAGAGATCACCAGACAGACTTCACACCAAAACCTCCAATTTTCTTCAGACAGACTCTGGCTTCGTGCTCGCCCGACAGGTTAAGCCATGTGGCTCCCTGCAGGCTCCCTGCAGGGTCCGGGCCGGGCGCCAACCTCCAACAAGCTGGAGCTGCTATGCCCCCAGCTCGCTCTTTCCAAGGACTGCGATGGCCAAATTCCCGCTGTCCTGCTTGCCTTTTCAGAGAGACCAGGACAACAGGCAGGATTCAGACACAATGAATTAAGCAAATTCTTCAACCTCCATTCAACTGAGAAAATGTTTAAGTTAGTACTATTCAGAAAAAAAAAAAAAAACTAAAGCAGAAACCAAACGTTACGTGTTTCATTCTTATAAACAAACACGACCAGGCCTGAGGTACAAAGAAACAAAAACAAAGCAGCCACAAAAGAGCTGGGAAGCACTGCCCACTACTCCTTTGCCGCCCAGAAGGTCCTCACCCACCTTTCCTTCTTGCCTGCAACTCCCGAGACCCAGATGGGGCGTTGATGTCCCCTATGCCCTGGAAGTAGACGTATTTCTTCACGGTGATCAGATTGGGGGCAAACTTCCAGACGTCTTCTCGGTCATCAATAATGCAAACCATTGAGTCTCCACAGGGAAAGAGATTTCTAGAAGTAAAAACACCAAAACTAGCACACTTTACAAAAAATAATCAACTAAAAGTCACAATAATCTTGTACAGGTGGCCAGCAGATCACGGATTAGTCAGAAACAGACGGAAACTACACTGTAGGACTTTTGTTTAGCTCACGTTTAAACTCTCAAAGTTTTCAGACAAAATAATATTAACATAGTTAGCCTTTCTCCACTGTGCCTGATGCTCCTTACGGGCCCGCAGCACAGAGTCTAGCGTTTGGGGGCCGCGTCCCCGTCCTGGGAAGCTGACGAACGACCACATCCCAGTAGGTTTACAAATATGGGTGACGAGCTGTGGGCCAGTCTGCAGGTGCCTGCCTCACAGCGAAGGGCTTTCCAGGTAAAGGCGGGAGGACACGACCGTGCATCTCAGCCCTCCGAAATAAACAACGGTTTCCTGCAGTGTACCTGCGCGTCTCTTTCAAGCCCAAAAACGTTATTAGAATGTACAGGGTCAGCAAATATGTTAGCAAGGGCTGGCCACCTGACAGAGGGAGGCACACTCTGCTACTCTCACACGGTCTTGTGAAATTCTATTTCTGTTTGCAATTCTGGGATTCAGATAGGCTTGTAGCATTCAAAATTCAAAGCGGATTTCATCTCGGATCTAGAAATAAACTCGGAAGGACAGCCTGCCACTGCTCAGTCCTATAGTTGCTAATGGCTACAACTACCCAGAAAAACAGGTTCATGAGTCCAGAATTAATACCATTTCCTGAGTCTGTTTCCTACAGGTAAAGCAGCAGCTGAACTAACTTACATGGTCCATGCTTTCCGGCACATTTAACTCCAGATGGGGGAGATAAAAACTGGGAAAAGAGCCCTCACTGCCTGTACCTACACGAGCCATGGGCCGGTCACCTGCGCCCGCTGGGGAGCACGCTGCTCCCCCCCGGCGTTGTCCCTGTGGGTAGCTACGCCTGAATCCATTGCTGCCAACACCCCCCTTTGTCTTCATCAATGTGCTCACTCTGACACTAACCAGCAAACGCGAAGCAAGGACTTTCAGATTCTCCTCTTGGTTCCTATGGCCTCGAACAGGTCCCTGTGTGTGGGGACACCCTAAATCTGAAACATGCAACGCGGCACGAGGATGGCCAACACCAGCGGAAGGCCAGAGGCCACAGCGTTACTGCCCAGATATCCCCAAGAACCAACGTGCACGAAAACACGTCACAGCTGACAGAGTACTGTGTGGGAGAGTGACTACCTCTCTGGGAAGAAATGGGGAGATTCCTTGTGCAGAGTGGACATGTGCAAGAACCTTTGGACTAGGGGGTGGGGATGCCCCACTGTAAAAGCACAGAGGGCAGGACGGGCAGGGGACATGGTGATGGGAGGGAACGCAACCAGGAGCAGATGGGACTGGGACTCTGGATCTGGGAATGAACTAAACAGGGTCAAGAGCAGGCCAGCTCCTATGGAAATACAACGGTGAGACACCACCTTCTTTCAAGTTATCCTGTACTCGCAGGAGCTCTGGGTCCCTCTGCTTGTCACCTCCTGTCCCCCCCGGCCCCAGCACTGCTCCTGTTCCCTCTCCCCAGACTCTTGGCCTCTGGGGAAGGTCTGGCCCGAGTGCCCCGGAGCCCACCAGGGAGCCCACCAGGGAGCCCACCACGGCCTGGACACTCGGGGAGCTGGTGGAGGAAGGAGCCTGGCTAGAAGACAGCAGGGCTTCTGAGTGCTGTGAAGATAAAGCTGGAACTGGGGAGAAAAAACACAGAACTGCTGGTCTGACGTGTTTTCCACTGGACACTGAACAGTGAACCTCCTCGATGAACACAGCCAGGTACGTACCTGAGGTTCCCTGTTTTAGAAAACGGGTCAATACATTCGTCCCTTGATAATATTCGATGAGAAAAAAGCTTCTTCTCTGGGTCTAAAAAACCTTTGAAAAGAAGACAAAACAAGGTCACACATGTGACTGGCTAATGTCCTCCTCTGTGTATAGCGCAGCCCCTTCTGTTTACAACACCAGAACACTAAGCATCCTACTCTGGCACCAGACGCTCTCATCTCTCTTGGTAGGACTGTGATTCACTTACTGTTCCTTTTAATGTGTTTAAGGGCATCTGTCCATTAACCATTTGCTCAATTTAACATGACCTGGAATTTGGCTGAGAACAGAAGACAAGGACTAAACAAAGCTCAGTATTACTCCCCCGGGGAGCGTGGAGTCTGCGGGGGCGATAAACACGTGAACATGTAATTTCCACCCAGCACGCTACGCACAGATGAGGGGCTGGGACCAAGAATTCTGGTTCTGCCACTGTTCAGTTTCCCTGTGCCTCCGGCTGTTTGCAAAGTGAAGCGGCGAACGAGGCGCCTGGCAGCCTTGCACACTTACTCTGACAAGTCCACCGTGTGCTCTGGAGATCTTTTTAGGGTGCATCCCATCAGCGTGTAGACGTGACACGGTGGCCCACCTCTGAAGCCCACTGCTGTCAGACAGCACGTTGAGCAGGCCAGCCTCCCGTCCACCTCCCCAGCAGGACCCAGAGACCACACATGTGACTCACACATCCTGTCAGAGGCGTCCCAGTGCTCTGGTGTCTGCACATGGGGCCCGCCACGCCGCAGGGGGGGGCTGCCACCTCCAGCTGTTTACATCTGTGGGATCCCCATGCCATCCGCATTTACTAACAGCGCTCACTCCGACGGGAAATGTTACAAACACGCATTCTTACTAAATAAAGAACGTGCAAATTCTCTACGGACACTGATGCTACTCGGTGGCTAAACCTGAAGCTTACTCACAGAAGTCTTAGTCTCTACAATGAAATAAATGAAAAGCACCCCAAGCTCTTAATCGTTCCAACAAAACAGGTCTATCCTAATTATACTAAAAATACACATCCTGTGAAAATGGTAACTCAAAATTTAAAGTTGACAGGATGAGGAAGCTATAGAAACTGTGGTTGTTAAAAACCATGGCAGGGCCTCCAACTGTCTTCTGTCAACGAGCAAATCCACCCACCTGACACCAAGCTCAACTCCCCCAGCCCCAGCGCCTTTCCGTGCCAGCGACCTGCCCTCCGAAGGCCCAACCACCTCAAAGCCACGTGGGGCACGCGTCCCATGGGCTTCCTCCCAAGTCCTCTTGTGTGCGTGACGCCGTTGCTGGAGGCGGCTGCCCAGCCGCGGTGGCTCTCCTGGCCTGTGGCAAGGGGTACCTCCTGTGACGTGTCTGCATGTGCTGGGATGTGGGAATTCTAAGGTACAGAGCACAGCCTGACACAGGGAAGAGGCAGACTGCCCAAGGGCCCCGGGAACGTCCTCTCAGCCTCCAGGGCGCCCCACCCCCCAGGCGCTTCTACCTAACTCAGTATCATCTTCACTACCCCTCTGTGGACCCTGCTGACGGAGATCCGGGGAGACGCCACAGCTCCGGAGGTGAAGGCCCAAGTCATCCTGTGGCCAGGAGACAAAGCCCAAAGGGGGCACCTGAGGACCTGACCGCTCTTTCGGCTTGGGGTGCTGTCAGTTGACTGCCCACACCACCGGTGTGCAGGTTCCATGGAGTGGGGACACCAGGCGGCCACTCAACAAAGGCAAACACAAGATGACGGGACTTCAACACACGGCCGCCGTGCTCAGGATGAAAATTACAAAGGTGCCATGTGTTAAAGGGGAATTCGGAAGTCATTCCCCCACCAACAAAGGCCAAGACCAACCAGTAAAAACATTTCAACGTAGAAGTACTTCATGTGGCCACCCTGGAATGAACATAAACATGGTGTCGTGGCCAGCGTCTGATGCAGGTGCCAACATCCACGGGCGGTCAGAGTGGACTGGAGCCCTGCCGTCCCCAGGCAGAGCTGCCCCCGGCTGCAACACCTCGCTGCGAGGGAGGCCTGTGCACACACTGCCCAAGCGCAGCACCAACACTAAATCAGCGCGTCACTCACGTACAACGAGAGACAGCCACAGCCAGGCTGCCTGCGCTCCAGGGCTCAAGTACAGACGGACACCAGCAACGTGGCTCCGGGGGGTTTCCAAACCACTTAATGGAACAACCTCAAATATGCTCACACAGGAAGTTTCTCCTCTTCTACCTACCTGCAGTCCTGAGCAACTTTCAAACTGGCCCGCTGTGTGCCCCTGACCGCAGCGCGAGCAGCCCACGCATTTGGGGGAAGCAACGGCTAGCTCTGGGACTGAACCGAGTTTGGGAGAGCTGGATTCTCCCCCTCCATCTTTAAGGGCGTCACTGAAAGTAACGCTGCGGACAATGTTCACGCAACGCTCGACGAATACAGGGCGACCGAGGGCTGAGCCACCCACCTGCGATGGTGTGGGCATACAGCCGGCTCCCGAACGTGAAGACGTGCAGCTCGTAGAGCCTGGCAATCTTCTCCAGGAACTCCCTGCAGTGAGGACGCACACGGGTGTGCAGCATCGGCTCGCCCCGGCCCAGCTGGAAGTGAAAGATGCCCTGGAAAAACACACACGCCCGTGAGAAGGCAGAAGCCGCCCGGGACGGCACCTCCAGACTGTGCCCCCCCGCCCGTGGTAGCCACCCACGACCAGCACCCACGGTAACTACGCAGGGGACTGTGCCTTCTTAGTTGCTGAAGGACAACTGAGGTAACCACCCTGTTACCACGGGCTTCAGCGATGTCGCCAGATCCTTACGCTAACCATTTCGTCCGCGGTCTTTTTCTGATAAGGGGTAAAGCAAGTGTCCCTGAGTGACAGCGTGCGTGTCTGGTTCCTCAAGCACAAACTCCTGCTGAGTAGCTGAACCACAGCAGGTCACCCAGAACAGGTGTCCAGGGACCCACCGACAGCGTCCCCGGGGCAGCGACAGGAGTAAACCACGTGATTTAGTCTAGCTCCCCGACTGTTCCAACATGCAGGTTTATTAACTCACAAATACAGCACAAAAGCTGACGTGGTATTCCAAACCCCCTTCAGTAGACCCGTAAAATTAGTAATAGCAATCTGCTTACACGTCATTAACAAACAAGTAAGTTTACTTTCCTAAGGAAGCTAAACTTTGGTCTTTTTAATCCTGTTTATCATTAATTTCCTCAGTAAAAATATGCTGAACTGAAAAAAAAAGGTAAGTGACCCTGGTCCTTAGTAACTTTTGACTAGCTCTAAACTAGTCAGCCCTCTCACGACGCAGCTGTTCTGTGGAAACACGTGGAAGTGTGGCATTCTAGAATCTCGGTCCCCCTGCTCCACAAGTGCAGTGGAAATGTCCTTAAAAACACAAGTTTGGCTCTCCAGAGTTCAGAATGCAACACATCTTTCTAGCTGTGGTGAGCGGCTGCCGGAGTGCCTGGCAGGGGCAGAGGTGAGAACGGAACCCACCACGGCCAGCCGGAGCCGAGGTCTGTCCACGCGGACGGAGGAGGCCTTCAGCTTGTACATCACGCAAGCGAGGAACACGCTTGTCACAGCGAGTGCACACTTTTATGGAACAAATTAAAAGTGCCAACTTCAAAGGCACAATAAACCCCCAGCCAGGTGGGGCAACAAACACGGAACACACGTGCGGCAGGTACTTGTCTACACCAAGTCCCCCGGCTCTTTAACACACTCGCGAAGCAGGGTAGTTGTCATAAATGAAACAACCTCGAAGGACTTCCAAACACTTCACGTCACACACACAAACACACACCCACACGGGATCTCTCAATACACAGAGACGGCTGAGGCAGCTCAGCAGCACACGCTGCTTCACGGGAGACGGGACTGAACCCGAGTGAGAAGAACTCCACTGCTCACAACTGTCAGGACAACCCCGCACCGTCCGCAGCGTGCGGTAAGGAGGCAGAACCCCACTGCGTGTGGGACTGATGGAGACGGTCCACACGGACGCTGCTATCACTGCGTCTGTTTACGAAGCCAAACTTCTTTCAGGCCAAGTTTGTAACAAAACCCTGATGACACGCAGCTGTCACTGAATGCTGTGACCAAACCTCTCCTGTCCCTCCACCCCCGGCTGCCGGCCTGGCCTCAGCACTCCTGTCAGAGGCCTTCCCATGGGGCTCAGCCACCATCAGGAACCACTATCTGCAGATGCTGACGACCTGACGTCTAACATAGAGTCTACGCATCGACTGCCCAACGGCAAAGAATTCTAAAAATGACTGTTTCTGTGTTGGTGGGGCCTCATTTGTTAATGACAGTATAAGCTGGTCTCACCCTTCAGAGAGCCAGCTGTAACAGGAATTCGTAAATGCCTTCTGAAGGGGCCAGAAGAAAGTCAGCTTCTCAGGGTCCATACCAAGGAAAAGAGGTGGAATGTGGGAAGAGTTTTAATGTGGACTTAAATAGGGTTCCGTCCTTGACCCTTTACTTTTCTCTGAAAAATTAATTTCCCCGGAGAATCCCACCCTGTATCTGCAGTCTCTCGAGTACAGACCCAGGACCCACCTGTACCCCTACCCCCAATATTTCAGATACTCCTGGAAGTATCCAACACCAGCTCATCGTCCCCACCAAGGCTGTTCCTCCTTTGCTGTCCACCCCGCTGTCTGCCCCCGGGACTCAGGTCTTCCAGGTCCCGAACCCTCAACCCTCCCAACTAACTCGGCCACGTGTGGACCTGGCAATAGTGGGGCCGAGTGAGCCAGGAGGCGGGAGTGTGCTCTGTGCCTCCCAGTGAGGACCAGCCTCGGGGACACGACCCCAGCAGCATGGGCCTTGGGATCCTGTCCCTGCCAGCCTGCCCAGCCCCAAGAAGCGCTCACTTTGTTGGACATCTGCTGGCAGTGTTGTTCCGTCGTGTGGATCAGCGTCTGGTCCAAGTCCACCATGAGCACCAGCTTTCTGTTTCGATGCAGCCGCTGCTGGTCTTCCCGTCCCAGCTTCTCAGCTTGCTGAAGTTAAAGTAAAAAGGAAAACCATGAAGTAAGTGTATCTGGATCCAAAACCAAATCCAAATTTGTCAGGAAAAACAGAAGGCATCGGAGAGGTGTTCTTTGCTGGCCTCCGCACCAGCACGAGGGCAGCCCCACCGTGTGTTAATACAGCACCCGGGGGCCACACGGCCTGCACCCCCCCACCTCCCGAGCCACTTCCGTTTGGTCCTGTGGCTGCTGAGGACACGAGGATTTCTGATCGTAATTCTGTAACTTAACGTGTTAACCAATGAAAGAGGAGGCGAAAGAAAGCAGCTGAGTCCGTCAAGTTTGTTTGAACGCAATGAGCTGCAGAACGAAAGGAAGAGGCAGGAAGCTGAGGTTGGAGGAAAACGGCCAACTGTGAAGCAACAGGCAGGCGGCAGGGCTGTGGTGGCACCGTCTCAGCCCCCCAGGGATGCCACTTCACCTCAGCAGAGACCCAGGTGGGTCTTGGAGACGGTGTGGCACACCGTGGCCTATGGGCCCAGCGTGGGACTCTCCTCTGGGAAGGGGCCCCGGCCAGCAGCCCGTGTTTTGGGGTGCGCATCACTTCTGCCTCCTCACTTCAGTTCCCGTTGCTACAGACAGGCGCCTGTCCTGCTCAAGTCAGCCACGAGAATGCTGCGTCTGCCGCCGAGAGGGGCTACGGACACAGACCAGCGGTAATCCTGTCACCGCAGGAACAGTGGGGGACCCTTTCTTCTCTTATCCCCCAACTTCCCAGGTCTGTGTCTCCGTCTCTCTCTCTCACTCAGATACTCTTCTGTATTTACATTTGGTTAAAGTCCAGCAATTCAGGAAAATCAGAATCCTGTATCGGCATTTTGTCTTTCCCACAGAAAAATAAAGCGGGTACGTATTATTCAAAAGCACAAATCTGACAGAATTACAACACTGAGAAACGTCTCCCCTACTTACAAAAACGGGCAGCTCTGAAACTGCCTCACAGGAAGACAAGAGCCCAGCTTCCACATCACTCGTGGGAGGCTCCGTCCTGGTGCCTGCGCCCCCGCCCCCCGCATCCCTGGCCCATGAAAATGAGGTGTCAGGACGCCTCTGACCAACACTGCCCGCGAGACTCTTAAAATGCGTGAGAACTGAAGACTATTCTGAGCACACACACCTGCTGCCCCACGGATGCCACTCTGCGTGCTTTTCTGCGAGGACTCGTGCAGCACGTCCCCCTCTGCCCCCTCACCCCACCAGCTCTGCCAGTGGCAAGTGCCTCTCAAACCCGACACTTCCCCCTCGTGCACAGCCGGCCGCTCCCACCTGCTCTCAGCCCTACCACTCTTCTTACAGGGTATCGATGCCCTCCCCTCATCCCCACCCCTGCAGCTTCCAGTGGCTTCCCGCCTTCCCGTCTGTCAGCCTCCCGCTCTGCGCCAGGGGACCACAAGCCACAGCACCCCACAGAGCTCCCGACTCAGGGGCAGCGGGGCCGGCATCTCCCCAGGAGGCAGACCCCTTTGGGAAAGAAAGAAACACGTGCAGCCTTCCGTACCACAGGCAGAATGCATGTGCCACACAAACCGCCCGTCTCCCCAGGGGCTGTCTCAGAAGCCATCATGCCGACAGGCCTGGTACATTCCCCAGCCGCCCTCTGCACAGTGAGAGAGACCCACAGAGACTCCCTGCTGTTCTCAGGAAATTTCAGACTTGGCCTCTGCCAGACGCAGGCCTTACCTCGGAGCTCACCATCAGCTCTGGGACACTGTGCACCATCGACACCGTGGCCGTGGACAGAGGCACCTGCTGCTGCCCGTTCTTACTCTGCAGCCTGCACACGAGAGAAGACACACTGAGATGAACACCTGGAACTGACCAAGTACGCACAGAATGCGAGCGGGACTGCGGGGTAAGATTCTCATCTACGCTTCAGGTGATGCTCGATCTCACTCTGCTGGCAGCTGCTGAAATGTCATCTGATGTCTGAAAGCAGACAGGAAAGCTCTCACCAAGAGCTCACGAGGATCTCCCGGAAATGAACTGTGATGGCCACGCTGGAACAAGAAAATACAGGACAGTCCACACTGCTCTGCACATCTAATGAGGGTGACCGCCTGCTGCTGGTGGTAAAGGAGCCCAGGCAGCGAGGTGGGGGGCCGGGGCGGACCCGGGAGCCATGAGGTGCAGGCCAACCGCGGATGCACAGTTTGCTTGGCTGCAAGGGAAAAGCAAACCCACTACGCCTGGGTGCGCATCAGACACACTCCAGTGCTTTCAGAACTTAACCAGAAAGGACGCCTCCCTGGGAGACAGACCTGAGTTGCCAGATAAGGAGGGTGCCTGCCATCTGCTGCCGGAGGTGGATGCCCCTTTGAATCTGTAGGTGACCCCCTCTCAAGCACCCAGAGGTACCACCTTTCACCCGAGAGCTGCCAGTACTTACTGGGTTAGGTCTTGGCCACACTCAGCACACAAGCCTTTCATGACAACCGGGTGGCTACATCCTTCCAGACGCACCAGAACCACCCTAGAAACAGAGATGAAAATGGTCCCAAATTAGGAAGGTAAGAAGTACGATCCCTTGGTTTACCACACGACCATAGGGGATATACAGAGCCCGAGGTCCGGTAACGATTCTGCTAGCGACTTCCACCCAGCTCCCGGCAGGTCACACCCCCCTACAGGGCTCCGCCTCCCCGGGGCCTCTCTCATGCAAACACGGCTGGAAGAGCCAGGGATGTCCTGTCAGGAGAGGAGACTCGGGAGATTATTAAGACTTGGAATACGTTCTGATAACAATTCATAAACACGGAAGCTTATGTTCATACAGCAAGGAGCAACCTGGTATAATACCTACAAACGATAAACGTTGTCTCCCATATGTCACTCCCAGTCTACAGAAAAGCTACGCTTCACTGAAATTGTTCAGAACTACTATTATATTTCTGTTTTACCAACGCAGAAATGGCAATTTCCTGCATGCGCTAGTATCAAGCTCTCGTCCGAAGTGGGGCAACTGGCACACACCCCGCAACGCTGTGTGGTCAGATCTCTGGGGAAATAACTCGGTACCATGGGAGTCTGCTGATCCCACAGAGCCTCACCTAGACCCGGGAACCCAGGCACCTTCAGGCCAGCGTCTGTGAAGAGGGGCCTTTCTGGGTGCTTCCTCACAAAGGCCACAGACCAGAGAGACACCGTGAGGTCCGAGAGTCGGCCCACCAGTGAGTGCCACACACTTCTCCTTCCTCACCCATACCGCCACAGAGGACTTTCATGGGCTCACAGAGGTACCAAATGGGTACCCGGTACCAGGGGCAGCACCCCCTCTTCCACAACCAAGCACTCCACAACCAGGCTTGCTGCCCCGTGTGTCCACAGCCCGGCAGCATGCTCGACCCCAAACCTCGGTGCTGGCATTCTTCAGGGAGGTGCTCTCCCATCTTTAGCACCCTTTAAACCGCTAGCTAGAATCTGCCCACCTCCCCAGTCTCCAACCAAGCCGCCCCTGAAGCGGACCACACCGCTCCTCAGAACCTTCCCCGTCTGTATGGCACCTGCTCGAAGAGGTCTTCTTGCTCCAGGTTCCTGTCCGTCTGACACTGGGGATCTATGTGCCAAGGAGTCCTGCCCCCCCCCCCCGCCCCCCCGGCTCACGTCCGCCTCCTCCGGGCAGCCTGCATTTCTTCCACCTTCCACCACCAGCTTCTGTGCTGCCGGTGTTGGAGCTGCTAGTTGGGTCTGGCTTTGGGACCGCGGCCCAGCTGGCTTTCTCCACTTGACTGGCTCTGTAGCACTTCGCCCAACCAAGGCCAGTCCCCGCTCAGATGCCCGCGTGAGAGCCCCTTCACCCTCCTTTCTGACCGCACACCACCCCCTCCGAGCGGCTGCCGGGGTCCAGGCCTCTCGGATCACAGCCCTCACGGCAGGCACCTCCGAATCAGCCCTTGCTCGGACACAAGACACACACCGTCCCAGGGAGCTGTCCGCAGAGCAGCCCACCTTGCAAACAACCTGCAATTTGGACTCTACCTGCCGGGGCCCCTTCCTTGCCCATCCTGGTCCCCTGCCTGCAGGAGGGGAAGCAACAGGCCCAGGAAGGCGGCCCTCTGAGAGGATAGGAGCAGAGCCGGCAAGAGGACTGACTTGCACTTTCCCAAAAGTCAAAGGTGTCTATCAACTGTTGGCTAATGGGTTTTTGAAGGGTTTGTCAGGCCTTCTGGAACCTGGCAAAAATCTGCTGTTTGCCCCCTGGAATGCTGGGGGTAGGTTTTATGAGAAACAGAGTAAACTGGTTCATTCACCAGTCTTCAGGGTTTACAAACGCTGATGTTGCTTGCATTTTAATGACAGGTTCTGGGGACCCACTACCGCGGAAGAGCGCAGTCTGCACAAGCACCGCAGACGGAGGGGTTCCGGTCTCAGGCGCAGTGTGACCTGGTGGCCAGGCCTGCAGACACTGCCCCTTCCTCTGTGCCCACAGCAGACAGATGCGAAACGTACACAACAGTCTGCATTTATTCACTTTACTCATTTCTACACTAAAACCCGACCTATGGATTATTTTTTCAGGAACACCAAAAAATGGACTAGGAAGATTTCACCAGTCTTTCCTAAAATGTTAACCTGAAGATGCAGCTGGTGCCTCTAGCTCAACCAATAAACAGGTCGAAACACTTTGTGCAGTACGTGTTTCCATTCTGTAGTCAGCTCTTTTCATTTTCTTAACAGTGTTTTTCGAAGATAAGGTTTTAAATTTTGATCCAGTTCAATTTATCAGATATTTTGTGTTCTTAAGAAATCTTTGTCGGGCACCTGGGTGGCTCAGTCTTTAAGCGTCTGCCTTCAGCTCAGCTCATGATCCCGGGGTCCTGGGATCGAGCCCCGCATCGGGCTCCCTGCTCCACGGGAAGCCTGCTTCTCCCTCTCTCACTCCCCCTGCTTGTGTTCCCTCTCTCGCTGTGTCTCTTTCTGTCAAATAAATAAATAGAATCTTTATAAAAAAAAAAAAAAACTTTGTCTTACCCAGATCACCAAGATTCAAGGGGAACCCCGAGGGGGTGGGGCGACTAATTCTAGAGGATTAACTGTCCTCCAGCAGGTGGAAGCTTCTAAGACAGCTCCCACAAGGTGACAGGAAGCAGGCGTGGGATGGGGGGGGGAGGAGCAAGGCCACGCCACACAGGTGAGGGACACTAGGCTTCAGATCCCCCCAGCTAAGAGCACGCTGAAAGTGGTGGCTTGGAGACCAACGGGTCTGGAACCTGCAGGTGGTGCTGGGAAGGGAGCCAGGGGTGGGGTGAGCACACAAACTCTAAATGCACAAGTGCAGGCAGGAGATGCTGGGAGAAGTGTGAACCAAGAGACACAGGAGTGCCGTGGACACTCTCGGACGTTCCCGAACACACCTGCCAGGAACAGATACAGAAAGGACCAGTAAGTCCGCCTGGAGAACAGAGCGAGGGGAGCACAGGTACCTCCAGCCACCACACAGCTGAACGCACACCTGTCTGGATGTGGACGGGGCCAGGCTTGGGGCACAGGTCTGATGGGCTGTGCATCCCAGGCCAGGGCATCACCATCTCATAGAAAACAGACGGCAGGCCTTTGGGGACCCCCAACAATTAAGGCAGAGGCAGAAAAAAGAATGTCAATTTTAAAAAACAAAACCAAACCACTGCTCACAAAGGCTGAGTAGCCAGCATCACAAGAGATGCTAGGGAACAAACACGTTGAGAAAGAAAAAGCTGTCAGAGGTAAGCGCCCCCAGGAGAGACCAGACAGGGTGAAAATCGCACCCAGATCAAGATGTGCACACCCTGACTGGGGGTGGTTTCCTAGGCACACGTGTGTCAAAACTCACCAAACTACGCAGTTACAATGCGCATCTACACTGGCTGACTACCAACTAACAAGGCCCACGCACCGGACCTGCTGAGGAAGGCTTGTGGTGACCTTCCAAAGGGCCGTGTGGTAGAGCCCCACAGCGAGGCCCAGAGGAGGACGGGGCCGGCCCCCGGGCTGCAGCTGAGTCCTGCCCCCCCCAGCACCATCCAGTCACCAGGGGGCTTCCGGGGTCACCCTTGCAGGGCAACCCCGGCGAAGGCAGGCATGCCATCCAGGGTGACAGCTACAACAGCCTGCCTTGTCATGACCCCTGGGACCTCACCGGGCCACTCCGTGGCCACTGGGACCCACGTGCTTGGCCCGGGACATGCTCCCAAGTGCTGCTGGAAGTCTCCCCAACACAGGGGCTCCCTATGCTCAGACCAGCCTGCTACTCACCACCTCTGCCTCATCCTTCGGTCTGAACCCAAGCCCAGAGCCGCACCTCCTCCCGGAAGCCCTCCCAGCTCCCCCTGCTCTAGGTGACACGCAGTACACCCTCCACCGGGCTGTAACTCGAAGGTCCAGCAGGCACAGAATCCTTGACAGAGCGGGGAGGCGCCAGCAGGCAACCAGGAGCCAGGTGCACATGAAAGGACACAAAGGTGGGGGCACAAAGGCCAACCACTCTGCACGTCCTTGGCAGTGTGGCCCGCGTATGTACCTTTCTCTAGAAAGCCTTGCACCTACAGGTCACATTAAAGGTCATGTAACCTTCTGCGCTGGGGTCAAAGAGTTTTGCCTGTGGTATTCCACAGAGCAGATCCGGGCTCAGTCGGCTGTGTTGCTCCCCGGGGGAAACGGGGCAGCGTCTGGAGGCACCTCTGGCTGTCACGATGTGGGGGCAGTGACTGGCATCTGCAGGGTGGGGCCAGCGGTGCTGTTAAGCACCTTGCCGTGCACAGGGTGCCCCCTGCGAGCCCAGTGCAGACAATCAACAGATGGGTGTCAGCTTAGAAGCCTGTCCTGGTGGATACCCAGAGCTGTGTGCACCAGCAGCCCCCACCCACAGGAGAGCAGGGACAGCCGGGGAGCAGGCACAGGGAGGCCCCTGCTCTCAAAGGTACTTGGGACAAGTCCAATCACCCCAAGGCCTGAAGAGAATATTTAATGTTGACAATAACTATCACAGGAGACAGTACCACACAAAGCTTCTACAAGGACTCCCTCTGGGGTGATACGACATGTGTGTCACGGTCATGTGACGTGTAAGAGATACACGGATCCCTCACACATCAACTTAATCCCTCATAAACTGCCTTCACTTCAAAACTCAACGTCTCCTCTCCTTGACATGAGTCACCCATAGTGTTGGGAGCTCAAACTCCACATCTGTGAATATTAACAGAGGATTTGCTAAATTTAAGCACGAGGTCTCCACTTGGAATTCATCCTGGCAGTGCGTGTCCCATTTCGCCTCACGTGGCGGTGGGCTCAGCACCGGTGGGTGAGTCCTCGCAGGAAGGGTGTGGGGAGAGCAGGTGGTATGCATTCATCCAATGCAAAACAAAACATCATGCAATTTTCACAGAGTACCCAAGTCTGAAGACACCATGTGCTACAATCTAGCAAAGTGGGCCCCAAACCAAGCAGCATCCCACTAGAAACCCACCGTGTCAAAACCACCGTGTCAAACCCACC